AATTTTATCATTGACTCCATCGACAGTATTTGTTGGTTGGAGCAAGCAGTTTTCAAACGTTTGCTGACAATGCATCTATCATTGGACGTATTTGAAGAGTTGTCAAAATGAGGACGCACGGGGAGGCAATAGAGAGTTATCGTAATATGTAAATGTGACAGTAGCCACTGAATCGTTTTCAAAGTTCATTAGACTACAAAGAAAAGCGTCATTTAGATCAGGCGCTGTGACCAATAATCTTGTGGAACTTGGGGACTTCTTGATGCCATAAGCAGTATTGATACCCAAAAATGTGTTTATTTCGGTTGTGTTCGTGGGGACAAGTTTTTTACAAGAAGATTGTTTGACTTGCTCTGCATATAAATGGTTGAATACCAAATTTTCAATGAATCCTTCTGGTACTAATTGGTTGGAAAAGTGTATAGGGGGTTGGCTAAATATCTATATTTTTTTATAAAAAGCATGCACCCCAGAGGGAGCGTAAATCATTGTGGTGCAGTAGGTTTATAATCATTTGACCAGTTGGTGCACTATAAACTGAGTGATAATTGGTGTAGTTAATTGGAGTAAGAACATTGTTAATAATCAAATCTCTCACAGTCGCTAATGGTAAATCAGATTCTGAATCTTCACTTGCCTGAAAAACGATTTTCTTCAACTTCACCACCTCGCCAAATATTATCGCACAGTTCTTCCAGCGTCAGAAACACAACTTCCGATTCTGAATCTGACGGTATTGACTCCTCAATACATTCTATTTCCTGATTAATTCGTCTAAAGTCATATCTCGCAGATTAAATTATCCCGTCCACTCTGGATCTGGACATTTTGCCTTTACAAAACCATCATGCCATTCAGAAGGTAAACAAGCGGAACAGCCGGTTTACACAAAAAGTACCAAACCATAAAAGTACTTCATCTTTCAACAGAATTCAAACTCCATGTTATTTTAGCTCAGAAAATACTCACCAATGTATATCAAGTCACAACTATTTCACTTCGACCAATAATTCCAACCTTTACATCAAATAAACACAACAAAACATTCCATAGATTTATGACAAAATACTGACATTTGGAATTACAGATTACACCACACTCAGTTACCGGCTATTTTATTTTACCTTCAACGGTCCATAGGGGGCGTTAGCATCTTGTGGCTTAGGATAATACCAACCAATACATTATAGGAATAGTACCAACAAGTGGGTACATATATTTTGGACCACCGCCGCTCAAATACACAAAAAAAAACGGTACAATCTTCTACCACTGCCCCCTAAAGAGTTAAATTATCGATCTCACAAGTAATCTAACTCAAAATAGACTAGAGCCTGCACATCTATTCTATAGCAGAAAGCTTTTAGTGAAAATTTGAGGTGTCTAGTTATTGTAGTTGCTGAGATCTCACCCGGACAGTCGGCCAGCCAACCATAACGAATATAATAGCGTATTTTTTTCAAAGAATGCGCTAAAAACGACGGTTTTCAAGAGAAAAAATGTTACTGGTTATTGCTCTTACTCAAAAATTGCAACTTCTAAAAATATGCGGATTGTTCTCCATTTAATCAATCTCACATATGTATTCCATGAACCCTTTCATAGAAATACCCGCATGCCCAAAGAAGTGCTAAATAACTAAACAATAGTACGTATGTACACTATGATAGCAGCAAAGCAGGGATAATGCTTTTAACTAAAGAAAAAACAAAATGTAAAAAGTATCACGAATGCCGTAATTACTTGTTCACGTGATCCTGGTTAGTGGTTAGGCGCTAATTGGAGCTAAATTGTTGCTCAATTTATAAAACAAACGCTTAGATTTTCACGTTTGTTGCTCTTGGTAGGCAGAGTTCAAATTGTTATCTTTATTTAAAAACTTGAATTCAAGTAAACATTCTTGTCAATTTCAATTGTATTAACAAGAAAGTGTATTGTAAATAGAACTAATCTTCTCTATTACACCATTGAATAAAGAGATTTATTATTCAATGATTACACTTAAAAAAGCAAAAAAAAATAAACAATTGTTTGTATTTTACAACTATTAGCAATTTTGTTCTTTACAGGTGAAATAAATAATATTTTACATCATCTTCAAGTTTCCTACCGTACTAATTAATCACAATATTACAGTTATAAATACATAAATTTACAATTCGGTTGTGGTTACACCCCAATACTGCTGCATCCTATCCAAATCTAACGAATCCGCCAACCCCCTCTCTTGCATCACAGCAAAATCGTACTCGAGATTGTAGGGCATTAACCTCTGCAAACTGCCAAAGTAAGCAGCGTGAGGACCTCCGAGCATTTGCTTTTTGTCGCCCAGGTGGCGAGAGGGTGGTCTCGATACCAACGGATTGAATGATCTGGAACTGCCAAACTGACGGGATAAGAATGATGCTTGCGTGTTATTATCGGTAACTATCTGGGGGTTGCTCCTCGACAATGTTGGGTTCTTTACAGAGAACTGTGGTCTTTTGTTCTTGTTTAAGGTGTTGAGCTCCTTATCGAAGAGCAACTGCGTGTTTTGTTCGAGCATGTACTCCCAGCACTTAAATTGTTCTTCGGATAGAGCAGAATCGGAATCTTCCCGAGCTTTTTCTTCTTCTTTGCGTGCACGAACCGCCTTTGCGACGCCTCGGTAGCTTCGTCTTTCCGGCGATGCCTTAACGTCCGCCGCTTCGAAGTGGGATGACGCAAAACTGCGCAGTGAACGATTGTCGCTTTGCTTGTTTAGCTGATTAATAAAGATTTTAGCGGAAGAATTGCAGTCACTACACGCTTGATCACTTTGCCCACTCGGAGAAGATCGATCATCATGGTTCATCATTGGTGGTGGAATCGGAATTTTGTCTATGCAGCTGTTGCACGCATTATTGAGTGCTTCGCAGCAACAGCCTGGTTGGCAGGTACTCGCGTTCGAAAGCCCACTTTCGCTTTGGTACTTATTTCTTCTAATCGTCTGTCTTAGTTCCCTCATAAGCAGATCGACATCAGAGCTAATTAGGTTAAACCGTACAACTATGATACTTAAATTTTCTTCCGCGCCGTAACTTTGTGCTAAATCTTGCAGACGCTTCGCCGCTAAAATAATGTTTCTCTGCAGACTAACTTCTCTAATTGCATTTTCTGGGCTCATTACCTCCCATAAGTTCTTATTCGCAATTATCATGTACTCGTCCTTATCTTCTAACTGAAATTCTATTATATCAGGATCGGGTATTACGTAATTAAGTTGTGGGTTAGTGCGTATGTGTTTACGCTGTTTAATTGGCAACAATCGCAATGGGCCAACGGTTCGACCCAGCACAATCTTCATATCGCCGACGCTCGCAATCTTCATGACGTACCTCTTCACGCCACCACAAAACGAGAAGTCCACCGATGACTTTGATTTTAAAATATGCACAATGACTGCGTTCATTCCGTGCTTCTGCCCTTTGTCTTTCAGTTCTTTGTGGGTGGATAACATGGTGTACTTCATGTAGTCGTTTGCCGTTTCTTTTACGGTTCGTTCTTCCAAGAGGATGCGTGGAACTATTTTATCAATTGCAATCGGGACGTCGCTGTTATTTTCGCCGTCAAACATCCCGAAGAGCGCTTCCGTGTTGCAAAACGCCGGCAAGCGGATTTGGGAAATGTACAGTCGTCGCTTGCAGCCTGACGTTTCCGAAAACCCGACCGCCCATGCCGATTCGGTGAGGTCGTTTTCGCAGAACGGCGAGGGGGTTAAAGGTAGACTCGTCCTGTTCTTCCCGGATACATCAACTAAGCTCATCGGCCTTTGCGTTCTGTACGTGTGGAACTGCTGCGAGTCCACGTGAAGCTTTGAGTTGCAAGAGAGGTCTAGAAACTTGAGATTTGGAGGGATGAGCGATGATAGGTTGATTTTATCCAAATGATTGTGGGCGAAGTCGAGAACGCGTAGTGATCCCAAATGTGATAACGTGGGGCATGATTGGAGCAAGTTTGAATGGACTCGAAGCACTGATAGGTGCTTTAGGTAACCCACACTGTCAGGCAGTCTTATCAGTTTGTTTCCCGATAGCACCAGTTCCTCAATTTCCGTCCATTCTAATCCACAATTTTCGGGTAGAAAAGTAAAATTATTATAAGCCGCGTGTAGGATTTTTAAGTTCACCAGGTATGGAGACACTTCCGCAAGCGAACCATCCGACAGGCAATTGGCAGTTATAAACAGTTTTTCTAAGCTTAAATTACTCTGTGGTTTGGGCAATTTGCAAAGGCGGTTGTTTGATATATTCAGTACCTTTATACTTTGGACGCATCTGAAGAAATTTTCCGGAAGCGTTGATATACTGTTGTTTTGTAGAAACAACTCTTGTATGGGTAGTTTTTTGTGTATTGTAGGAAGATTATGCAACTGATTATAAGCCAACTGTAACGTGTGCAGGTAAGGCATTTCATTGCAAAATAGATGGTCCGGTAGGGTTTTTATGTAATTGTTACTCGCAAATAACGAGCGCAGCTCTTGACAACTTCCAAGCCACTCGGGGAGGCCATCCAGATTGTTATATGACACATCTATGTGCTTTAAATTTGTGGGTGTTGCAATGACCGCAAAGTTCTTCAATACTACAATTTTTAGGTTACTTCCATAATTAATGCTTCAAAACTTACAATTATTTCCCGCTATTAGTGTTGATAGGGCTCTTCCGTGTAGTGTCAACACAGTGATAATGTTTTTGGAACAGAGCAGCACTTGCAATTGCTCGACTGCGCTCAAATCCAAAATCTCAATGTGATTCTCGCTAACGTCCAACTCTGTCAGATTCTGAAAATAAAAAAAAACATAAAACGTCCGAAGAGGTAAATCAATCCAGAAAGTAAGCGAAAGAAGTGAACCAAGGATTCTCCACTTGATGATATCGTACGTACGATCATCCAATTGTAGTAAATTAATGATCTAACAACAATAGAGGTACCACGACCTTATTTAGCATCATTTACGGGTCTGATGTTTTACAGGATGTTATTTGCATCTTAAGGACATCTAAACCAAGACGTTTAAATTTTAATTTATTGAATCCAAATTTACATATGAGTGTTGTAATCTAAAAACGTTTATACGCAAGTGAATAGATAATAATTGTTTCACAGTTGTACAGGAGCAGTGAAAATGCATTTATTGTAACACAAAGCCCGCTTGCAAAACAGCCCGATGAGTAAATAGTATATTGAAAGACAAGTGTTACAATGCGACCATTGTAACACGCGTTTTTCATAGTATTTTTTCTATTTCGGTGCTTTAATTTAATTTAAAAAATCATTATCAGAAACTATAGGGAACATTAGAACTAACATGTTTTATGTTGGGAACACTTTTTATGCCTTTAAGTTTTAGGTTGGCAGCGTAGTAAGACTGACATTTTGAAGTTCAAACATGGAAGTACCCAACGAAGTACCTACTTGTACTAACTAGTAACTGCCAACTTAAGAGATGAGATACCAAAAAAAAACGACTATAATCACTGTCTTTGTACAACTGTTTTCGGCCGAAAACAGTTGTACAAAATCATCATTGTGACACCGAAATAGAAAAAATTCATTTAGATTCAGAATAGATAATAATCATAAAAATCATATGAAAGCAGTAAAAAAGTTCCGACCATTGAAAAATTTGTGATAGTTCAACTTGATGGAAGTGCAAGAACACTAATTAGAGCCAATCACTGCTAATCCTGCTGCTAATTAATAAATACTTACATATAATGCTTTATTCTAGGCTTTATTACTACCCCAGTCTGGTTTACAACACATTATAACTACTACTTCTTACAACAAAATTAATTCATGCGGGTATAATGTACAATTACTGGTTAAAGTGGAAAATTGGGGGAAGGAAAGCTATTCGAATAACCCCCTAAACGTTTTTTTATTTAATGAATATTTTCTTGGGTCCACCAGCCTAAACAGATCGTTTTCTTTCCCCTAACTTTGAAAAAGAAATCAACCTCAAATTGACAAAAAATATGTACTTGTACTTACTCAATACCTACTCAATCACCAGGATTCTACAAACAGGAAATGAAAATACTGTTTTTAGAGGCTAAACCACTAAACGATCTAAAAATCAGAACTTGAAGGAATATTGATTCCAGTAGCAGAAAATTGTCATTGGTAGCGAGTAGAATCATCGGTTATTTTCACTAATCTTTTTGAATATTAAAACGTTTGAATTTTTCTCGAAGAAATACGTAAAGTGGAACGGTATAAAAGTGTCAAGGTTCTGCAGTGCCTTCTTAAACAAATATGATTGTGTGAGGAATTTATCTGGATGACTGGAGTCAATGAAATACGGGTCATTTTTACGCCGTGGTTTTCAATGGTCTTTTTGTTCTTAATGCCCTATGCTGCTTTCCAGTCGGGCGTAGGAATACGATTACAGGGATATAACCATAAATTTCGGAATCATCATGCTTTCGCTAAATATATTGATCGATTTATTTTTGAGATATTTAACATCCATTCGGGATTGGTTGAAAAAAAAATTAATAATAGCCTTTTTAAGTTAATTCGCCACTGTGGGTGCATTTTCCAGCGAAAAGGGGAAACCCGATTTAATTCGAAAAAAACCTGTTATGTGGGTATGTTCAACTGTCCCTATCGCGAAGGTATTTCTTCATATTAAATTACACTTACAAAGGAGAAGGGTGTTGAACTTAACTGTTGACTTACTCAATGGCTGAACAATATCAGTTCCAGGTTTAAGATAACGTTAATCAGGGTTTGAAGAAATAATGTATTGTTTAGAACACCAATTTTTCCTTTCTTCCGTAATGAAATACAATAATTTTATTAGAAATTATAAAAACCGTTAGGCTGTCAAAAAATTTTGATTTTCTTGCGAAATAAAACACCAAGATCATCGTATGAAGTATATCCTCAACGTCAACGTTACTGCTGATGTAATAGAAAAAAAGGTGATTCTCTGGCGGAGGCATTTCAAACACCTTTCCGTTATTTCCTATCCTATTGTGAGGAGAAAGTTTCCAGCCGCAATATTGTATGAACATCATTGACCAACCTGAAGTCTATCGTATGTTGAAGGCGCTATTGTGGCCACTTTCTCCGTCCATCCGTCCGTCCGAGGCCTTAACTACTCCTACAGGTTTTAAGATATCTAGTATATGTATTTATAAAGTCACTGTTGCATTCGATTGCGAAATAAGTTTCAAAACACATAAAAAATTAGTCCAAATTGACTCCAAAACGTTTCTTATGAGAAATTTCGTATCACGAAACACGATCAACGTGAAAGGGTCCGATAGGATCTCAAGTAATCCTTCTATAAATAACCTTTTTTCTTATAAATTTACTTCAAAAATCAAGCAGAGGTTCCTGAACAAAAAAGCTACACAAAGCAGCACAAAATTAGTCGAAGTCAAGGAACTAGCAACTTATAAGGGAAAACCAACTGAAAGCTTAAATCAGTTGAGGACGAAATTGTTTTCGGAAAAGGTTTATGCGAACACGTCGTTCGTAAAGCTTGAGCTAATGCCTCCAACATCAGCTGCTGCTAAGTTCCACAACCTCCCAACAATGTATCACCAAGTCCAAGAATGGAAAGGAAACAAAGAGGATCCTTTATAACGAAGTTGGGAATTGATAAACGAAAAAGTGGAAGATAAGAGACGAATAATTCCGTTTCCTGCCATATGTGGGCCGGGGCATACGGTATTCATAAATAATGCATTTCTGTCGTACATTAAATTAATCTTTATTCATTAATATTTTGTAAAACAGCGGGATTTAAATTCAGCAACGAAATTTTTTTACAGTGAGAAAATATATTTGTTACACGAGATTTATAAAATGTCCTGTTTGTTTTGAAGCTTATTAACGAACGACAAACAGCGAGTGCATGATTTTGGACTTTCTATCCGTCCGTCCATCCGTTTGTGTACATGATAACTCGCGAACGGTTCCGCATTTTCTAATTCTATTTTCAGTAGTAGGTAGACAATGGTCAGTGGGACTAACGTCTCTATACAGGGTGTTACACGACCGTTCGAAAAAAAAAAATCGGGTTGTAGAGGGCATCAAAACAAGCACTTTTTCCAAATAAACCGAGGGTCCAACGTGTTTCGTTTGGGAGCCACCCCCCAAAGAGTGTTGAAATCTGCATTTCTTCTTTAATTTTTTTCTCAGCAACCATAAGAGTTACAAAGTCGGGTGGCATGTCTTTGAATAGGTTTTTGGGTATGCTCTTTCCGATTTTGCAATTTTTTTTTCAAAATTCCTACCCCTAAAGGGCGCACCCCTAAACTAGGGTGCAAAAAAAAATTCTGATTTCGACGAAATTTGGTATCTGGGGGTTTTTTAACATGAAAATCACGAATCTGAAATTAGTTTTTGAAAATTCGAAAAAAAAAGTTCCACTGCAATTCTTGGCGGGACAACGAAAATAGAGATAATTCCACGAAATTTGTTGTGTACATACTAAACGAGTTAAGGAACAAAACTGTCGAACAGTTTTTTAAAATAACTTTTCAAACAAAAGTTATACTCATTTGAATGTTGGTCCTTCGGGTCGCGAAGTGTCCCAAGCCTACTAGTAAGCCATAATTTCGCATGTGTTGGTTGACNTTTTTTTTGCACCCTAGTTTAGGGGTGCGCCCTTTAGGGGTAGGAATTTTGAAAAAAAAATTGCAAAATCGGAAAGAGCATACCCAAAAACCTATTCAAAGACATGCCACCCGACTTTGTAACTCTTATGGTTGCTGAGAAAAAAATTAAAGAAGAAATGCAGATTTCAACACTCTTTGGGGGGTGGCTCCCAAACGAAACACGTTGGACCCTCGGTTTATTTGGAAAAAGTGCTTGTTTTGATGCCCTCTACAACCCGATTTTTTTTTTTCGAACGGTCGTGTAACACCCTGTATATAAAAATGAACCCCTGTTTCTTCTGGTCATGCAATAACTTTAGAACGACTTTACCGATTTCATTGATCTTTTTTTTAACTTTTCTAATACTGTGTAGAAGGTTCTTACGGAAAGAAAAACTAAGAAAATCACGCAGAAAATTGAAAAATTGGAGAAAACTTAACGACTATTTAAATATCGCGCGTTTGAAGATGCGACGGCAATTGTTTTAACAGCTACATAATCGACAATGGATCGGCATATATCCGTCAAAAAATTAAATTATCCATATCATAGTGTGCTGTCAATTCGATCGGATAGTTTATCCAGATTTCAGTGAGTTTTTTGAGGATATTTCACCGCAATCACGCCTTAAAAGTTTGATATACCTAATAACCATTTTTGGTAAGTGTTGATAGACTAAACACGTGCTATACAAAAACACTGGAAGTCAATTTCTATTTTGAGTTGAATTTTAGTTTTTTCAAGATGCTACTTATTTGTACCAACATGGTACCAACTTAAGTCGCAGAATTCGTAATCCTACAAGTCAAACGTATACCTATACGAGTAAGTTAAACTGACGAGCAAAGCGAAGCGTAAAACGAAATTAACGGAATCGATATGAACAACGCAGAAATGTCCCCTTTAATCCCTATCGAGCTGCATTTAATCATAACGCGTGGGAAACATAATAATATCAAAGTCACTCTCGCATTCTAGGCGAAAGTATTGCCCATACTGGAGGTATAACCTGATACCCGTCTTCGCAAATAGAACCAAAAGTAACAATTTACCTAAAGTTTGGCCGGTAAAGTAAATATCAAACCGCAAAACTCTCGAACCACATATTGCTCTGTAAACTGCGTCTAGTGGACGTTTTGTTTGGCTTCGGCACCTGCAGTAAAGTTGGGTCACCCGGGATGTGTGAACTTCATTTATTTTGTGTTTAATGATGTATAATTAATAAATAATCGCTTGTATTTTGTTAATTTAATTATAAAGAAATTACGTGTTAAAAGATTAAGTGGGTTTATTTGTAAAACTATTATCTCTGGTCATTGCAATAAGAATGGTATCGTTGCGTAAATTAATTAGTTTCAAGATAATCAGTTTTTTTCGGAGGTGTTTTTTCGCCGATAAGAAAACACATGTGCTTAATTTATTCTAAGACGCAGTTGAAAGGGAGACAGAAAGGGAAATTGTTTTAAATACTAGATACGGATGTTAAGTAAATGTAACACGATTATTACTTCGCTTTAAAGATAGTTTTGTGTGAATTCACTGTAGGTATATTAATAGCGAAAAAACTCAGATTATGCTTTCAGGCAATTAATATCAAAACAATAACATCGCATATACTTCCAGTGTCAGATTTCTTGGTCTACACGTGGATGAACGTCTCAGCTGGAAAAAGCACTGTGTCTGAGTCTAGCTCTAGATTAAGGTATGGTATCGGATTATGGGGGTCTGCAAACAAATTTAACGACGCCTTTATCTGACACAAGAAACTGATAGGAAACATTACTGGTGTCTCTCGTTTGATTAGCTGCAGAAATTATTTCGGAAGCCCAAATATTCTAACATTGCCTTGTTTGTGTATTTTTGAAATTTGTGTATTCACTTACAATAATTTGGAACTCAAATGCACAATTGAAATACGAGAAATTCTAAAAATCTTTACATTCCATTTTCAAAATGTGATATTGAGTATAAATCTCCAGAGGTATTTGGAGAACGACTGTTCAATATGCTACAATCAGCCATAAAAGAAAAATTTACTATAAACAGTTTTAAACTAGCATTAAAGAGTTACTTACTTGAGGCCACATTTGGTTTCAATTCAGACGATGTACATACATACATTCAGACAGACGACAGAACATTGAGCATATAAAGGTTACCGCAACTTCGTTGTGTTACGCTAAAAATTGGCCAACACACTGAGTTTGTGTTTTTTCTCTTATTTTTTTAGGAGTCAAAAAACGGAACTTGTAGCTTCGCCTAAGATTTTGATAATTTTTTAGAATTGTTTCCAAAATTCCTGCCATAAAACGAAATAATTTTGATTGAAATGAAATTTGGTATATAGGCGTTTCACAAAGAGAGAACTGAAAATAGGTATGGGATCGATAATGAAGCGGGTAGCTGTTTTTGAACAGAACGTAGTACCAAAATATAACACAACTATGGTAGTACATATTGCTCCTGTTTTGAAAGCGTTGCTAAAATGGGTCGGCATAAAAATGAAGAAGGCCTTTTACTCAGATGGTATATAAAGAGATCCTTTTTGTGTTTCAGTGAGACTAGAGGAACTATAAAATGACTACATGTATTAGACAAAACTGATACATGCTCTCTTCTTATACTCCCCTAACAGAAACACAAGAAGGATCTTTACCATCTCGAAGAAATAGGTAGTTCCTTTTGAGAGTGGTGTTGCTTAAGTTTCAGTTATATTTTGAAATCAGTATTTCGCGAACCTCTTACTTATTTGCATCTTCTATTTGATGTGCAAACTGCAAGTGGATCTTAGCCTGGTACGTCTAGCAAATGGATCCAAAACTACAAAACTAGAACCTCGTGTGTAGATTTGTCGGTAAATTGTAGTTTAGCGCACCGTATGTGGGTACAAAGTACATTTTCTCTGCACAATTTTTACATGAACACTGCTTTCCTAAGAATAATTGCATTTTTCTGATTTTGTCTAGGAATGTTTCCTGCTAAGCAATATCTTGTTTTTTCCTGAAGTCATTCTTTCTAATTCTGGTTTTGTAGTTACAAAATGTCAACAACCAAAAACAATCGGACAAGGCAAGAAACAAGAACAAGTTTATCTAGTGTTATTAATGAATCCGCTTATTCTACTTATCCACACATAAAAATTAAGTAACAAGAAACTGATGGTGAAAAAATGGATATTACATGATAATTAAAAGAAAATCAATGAATAAAACATACAGTGGGCCTACTTACCCCATAATTTCCCAAAATGATATTCCCCTTCAGTCGGTTTGCTCTCAAATTCAACGTCGTCAGCACGTTTGTTTTAGACACATTTTCCGTGGTCTTTTCGCAGTCCTTTCAAAAGACACGGTTAAAACCACGTCAAGACGAAAGAAAGAACTTACCGAAAGAACGAACGCTCGCATATCTGCAAATTTATCTGGCGGTAAAGCAAGCCGATTGTACGCAATCCTTAGTATTTTAAAAAATTTTAGATCCCATAGCGTCGCCGGTAACACACTCAAAACATTCTGATCCAAAACAAGCTCTTGCAAACTGTAAACAAAAAACGAAAGTTTGATATGGCGCAACACTCGGCGGATGCACATGCAGGACACATGCGAGGTTAAATAATTTCACTATCTATTCTCAATTATAAATATTGTCTTATGAACAAATTAGCAAATGGAATCTTGTAGCCGAAGGTGTCAATAGTGCGCGCGTGGGCTTGTTTTGGTAATCTTCGAACCGAGACACGCACGAGCCTCCCGTAAGGTTCTCTTCTCTTCGTAATGATATGCGTCTCATATGAGTAAGAGTCCGTGAAGAAACAACGGAAGTTGTATATTCATCGCAATTTCTATGTTTCTAGTACTATTCCAAATTTCGTAATTGTTAATTACATCTACCGTCATATTTTGGCCGATGATAACATCTGTAGAAGAGATATTGGTACTTACTTGTTCAGCTGGTTAATTTCCGTCGGAATGGTTAGCAGATTATTATTTGCCAAATCTAAGCAAATTAAGGAGGATAGTTGTAAAATACAGCTAGGAAAAACATGTAGAGCGTTAGATCTCAAAGTTAAGACTTGTAAATCCACAAGAGAATGTAGCGAATGTTCGGGTAGCACCAGTTCTTCCGTGTAATAATTGTTATCTTGGCGATTTTTGCATAAACCGTTTAAATTTAGCCTCTTCAATTCTGTTTTGCTTTCGCGTGCTTTGGTTTTCGTTTGCTTGGTTATCTCCTAAAACGTAAATGTACTTAACGCGGGGTGAAAAGTCGAGGGGGTAGTACCAAGTTTGTGTCATTTGAGTTCTCCAAAGAATCCATTTCGATTGCATCGTACTGCATTATGTGTTTTACTTCCAGGGGGTTGTGATGGGTCCTTTCCGATTTGCGCGATGTTACAATGTTCACTGAGCACATATCGGAACTGTTCACGTTAATGACCATTTTTCACTTTCAAAGTTCACCGTTTACGATCGAGCACGTGCAAGAACACCACCATCTTAAACACTAACTCGCACACGTCAATATGTGGTACAGAAATAATCGTCATATAATACAATATACCGCAAGCGCACACGCGAAATTAAAAAAAGTGAAGAAGCTAAAAACGCTTGGCAATTTTACCTGGTGATCAAACGCCAGCGTCTACAAGAGCAAAGTGACTGCAAAGTAATGTCATTGTGATTGCAGTGTGCGGATGGTAACGCGGACCATGACAGCATGACAATACGGTTGGATACATTCAAGTGCCGTGCACGTTTTCTTAAAATATTGGAAATATGTAAGGTGTATTGTTACAAGAACAACGTATCTTTTACTTATAAGTCGGTAGCGAAATGCTGCTCGCCTTCACTACTACCCATAAAATGCATCTTTGGTAACTAGGTAACACCTGGTGAGTGTTAGTGTGAAAATTTGCACAAATCTCGACGATTAAGTGAAGGTAAATGATTGTCCCCCATAAGTAAGAGTCTACTGCGGCTTTGGCGAAAAAAATTCAAGCGCGAAAACAGGACTTTATTCTTTTAAAATTGTCCAGACTGCCCTTCTTGTTAATTTTCACCATGATGTAGTTTAAATACAAGAAGAACTTCGTAAAGGGGAACAATTCATCCTTATGATTATGCACCTTTGAAAGTCGTTGACTAATTTGTTATGAATCTATTTACCTTCTAACATTATGAATGAATTTGAGACAGAAAATGGTGATCCTGTGTAGAACACCAAGGTTAAAGGACTGCATTTGTGGAACTTACTCAAAACGCACTGCCGTTTTACAGCAAATAAATTCACGCGGATTTATAAGATCTAAAACTTTCATCAGTACCTATACTTGAGATGTACTGTCAAAGGTCTCTAGGTTCGGAAAGACGAAAGACACAATCGTGTTTATAACTACACCTCTTTATATTAAGATGGTACCATTTGCTGTCCAAAACGAAGTTAAATACATTCCCCTCTCGAAGGGTTAAAAAGCGTGATCGCTTTTTTTGGCGTCGCCATTTTAAGCCTTCAGTTAAAAGAAAATTTGGCCCCTATAAGATGGTGCCACTTTGATTTTTTTGCGCCGCCATAGACATAAGTCTAAACTCATATCGTTGAAGATAGCGCCACATCCACTGAGATAGAGGACATTTTTTCTCATTTTGATTTTTGGATTCTGGGACGATTTGTGTTCTTCTGATGGATTAACGCCCTCTACAGATTCGGGTGGGGGAAAATGTAACCATGGTACATATTCAAATTATGCGGAGTTTACATTGGCCGAGCTTTACGCGTTTTAAACAAAGTTTTTTTTATTATACCTGAATCACAATCTCCGTTTAAAACACTCAAATGCGTGCGAAAAAAGGCCTTTAAAACATAATGATACCAAAGAATAAGACCTTCACAGAACAGAAACATAAATGGCGCTAAATTGTCACTGATTACAGCGTTTCCCGTGGTTGTACGGAGAACTATTTATCGCAGACTCAAATATTTTTTTGCAAAACCTGTAATTTTGCTCGTTACAGGAAATATTTTTATTTCATACTATCTAGTAATCGCCGCTTTCCCAGACTGATTTGAGTCTGGTAAATCGTATTTTACCAGACTGAAAATTTTTACCAGACTGGAAATTTTGCCTAGCAACCGCCACTGACATCCATCTAAACGTGATATTTGATTGATTGATTGATATTGATATTTGTCAAACTACTGTCAGATCAAACAAATCAAGTGATCGACTTTTGCTTTTATTTTAATGTGTACCTACAACATTCTAATCAAAATGGTATTTTAATAGAAATAGAGCAGTATGAAATAAAATGTTTTACATTATTTGTATGTTAAATCAGTTAACGTTACTCGTTTCGAAATTCCTGCCTCAGCTACGCTTCGGCAGTAAACATCTCACTCGCTAACGTAAACCTTGATTTACCATACTCATATGTAAATAACTATTACCGTCGAATATATACGTACACAGGTTTTCCACATGTCAATTTTGACTTTTGAAAGATTTAAAATATGTGACCGTAAAAAGTGTTGTGTGTCGGATTGTAAGAATAAAATATCAAAAAGGCATCGTTTCCCACATTTTGAAACAGCTTGTTTTGTGCTTGAAACGTGAAGAGGGTTGAAATGTGTTGTTATTTCTTTCCTATTTATGCAAGGTAAGTAACAGGTACAAATTGACGCAGAATTATTACAAACTGTACCTATAGGCGCAAAAGGGTGTAGACTTGAGTTTTATATTTATATAGATGTAGATACTTATATTGTAATTCGTTTTAGATAATTCAACAACTTCCACCCTCGCTTCTCAAGTAACCAGTAAGCACCAGGATCAAGTTAACATTTGTTGTCAAAAACTTGTGTGACAATTTGCTGAAACGGTTTTATCACCTCTTGGAACAAAAAATTTAGTTCTAAAGATATTTTTTAACAAAAATATGTAGTCCAAACAGCAATTAAAACCAAATATTTCGTCGGACAACTCGTTACGTAAGGACCTTTTTGCAAAGTGTTAACTTCTACAAAGCGTAAGTTGCACTTACTTATGAGTTTTATATGTAATTTGTAAACATGTAATTTAAGATGTCTGTGTTAAATAATGTAATGTGATTGTATCTAAATATACTTGCAATTTAACAACTGTGTATTCTTTATCTATATTTGTGATTTAGATCGAATTGGGGAAATTACTTCATGGATTTATAAGCTGGTCACCAGATGGCGCTACTCTGATTTTGATGCTTTAGTTCACAGTACACCCACCAGGGTCCGCCAAAATACCATACAAACCATAGATATATAAATACCTAGATACAGCCATCCTTAACAAACGTACCTCGGTTTTTAAAAAACATATCTAAGAAATTTGTACATCTCTCCATTACTTTCTAACCTAAGAAGAAACATGTTCTATCTCTTTTTATTGCATTAACCACTATGTCGTACGCGAATCGGACGCTTAAAACAAACTTAGCGCGTTCCATAAGTCATGTGATATTATGTAATTATTGCGTTATCAATTGAATACGAATAACATTAGTGCTTGCCATAATGATAGACGCGTCCATAATTGTTATTCCTGAAATAGTTTTATTACATAGAGCTACGCCATTCAAATTTGGGACTATGTTTACCTTGTTTGGCACGATGTGCTGCAGTGAATTCATTGCTGGCTTGCAGAATACCAAAAAAACCGTAAGTAAGTAAAGTTTATGTTCAACATTTTAATTTTAATTGCATGGTTTTAGGCGTATTGGTAACGGAGATTAAGTTGCGACAGGAAGTGAATTCGTTTCCAATTATCATTTTGGCCTATATGATGTTGATGCAGTGCGTTTGTATCATGATCACAAAGAAGGATCCGTGCAATATTCTTAGGAAAACGAGATTTATAGACTGTGTGTGCGTGCAATATCAAATTTTGGTCGCTACGCGTCTTGCCTCCCTTTCGGCATATGTTGTACAATCGGTGGGGTTTCTTTTTGAAATTATAGTGTTAATTGTAGTAAGTAAGCTACACGTGTACATTTATTTAAAATAAATACAACATCTTAACAATGATATCCAATTGGTGATAATACTCATTTAGTCAACGTTCATTACGTTTGTAAAAGTTCACAATCCGAATCATCATCAGATGAAATTGACAAATCCGAATCATCACTGTCATTATTAACACTTATTATAAACTTCAGAAACATCAACCAATATAACTTCTCTTTTAAATTAATCACTTTCCACATGTTCACACACTTTCTTCCAGTTGTCAGCTGTAATTTTTTCAAATTCTTCATTTGCCAGCTTTCTAAATAACATCTTCCATTTTAAATGTAACATTTCTTTGCTGCTATGCAATTTAAATAAATAAAAAGGCGGTTTATTTATGTTGTAAAGTCTCAAATCTGATAATTTTCTGTGTGATTTGTGCTAACAATTTGATTGACAGTTATAATAAATAATGCGAATCTTGCCTTCCATGCTCAGGGTACCTCTATAAAGGATAGCGCTATACGTAATTAATGTGCCGAAAGTGATGGTAATATATGGTACGTCCTTTTGAACTATGTTGGTGTATGGCTGTATCTATGTATTTATATATCTATGCAAACAAATTTGTAACATTGCTGTTTCTATTCTGAGAAGGCCGTATTCTGTGAATGATACCTACTTCAAGTATGACTTTAGAAACTGTCATCTGGGGTTGAAATAAAAAATCCTCTTAGGTCGCTTTCTGTAAATGCAGAACATTGCTTTGGCTTGTACCTATCCTTTGGTTGAAGCTTCCACAAACGCGCTCAATTTAGGGTATGCTTCCAAATCTGTTCCACTTTTTAGTCGCAGCAATAGGTAAGTGAAGTTTTGAATGAATGCACCAAAAGATAGAAGATTTAAATACCTTTGACATTTCCTTCATATATGCCAGCATTATCGATGCATTTCAGACTTTATTCGTAAGTAACTTCCTATTCATTCATGGAAACAACTTTTCATATGCTTGATAATAGGCTTTACTGGATTGGGATTTTACACCTACCAACGTTTGTTTAGATTTTACAACAAGCGATTTAATGGACGGTGTATTATCTTTTTCAACGGAAATCGTTTAATTCACAAAGACGATGATTTTTATAAGCAAACGTCAAGTGACATTTCCATGGCAATCGTGAAATGACGAACACCCAGCCCACTTAATTAGACATGTATTCGAGTATAACGGCAATATGATTTCATTGTATTTCCTATTTTTAAATTATACTGCAGGTATAATAAAAAATACTATAAGATACACGTGTATAATTGGTCTTTGAAGCACTTGCAACGTTAAAGGCACTCCGCTTTGCGTCGTGCCCTTAAACTCGTTGCGCGTGCTTTAAAGACTTGATTATACACTTGTATCTTAATATTTATACCTGCATCAGAATCGCTGTTTAAAACACGCCTGAGCGTGCGTAAAAAGGCGATTAAAACACGCCGAGCTTTTTAAACAATAATTTTAAACTAGCTGTGTATGACCCATGTGCGCCGATCCAGTTAATATAATATAAAAAAAAAAAAAAACGCCGAGCTTTAAAGGTTGTTAAGTAACGTTACTTCGAATGGCATATGAAACATTGTAATTTGCGATTGAAATAAAATATCCTCTCGGATAGCTATTGGCAAATGAAAAAGGTGTCTTTTGGCTCGTATCCTTTGTGGGAAG